TAGGTCCACGTAGGAACACATGCCTTCCACTGCTTGCCAGCCGCCAACATGCAGTGAATGGACCTCTTTTGAAAAATTGTGACGAGTGATGAATAGCGCATTTTCGTACGAAAATGTTAAACGTAAATTGTGGAATCGTGGGTAGATCCCGGTCAAACCAGTGCATCGACGCCGAAGAGGGGTATCCATAACACAGTTCAACAGTTCATTCTTTAGTCGTTGGGGCAATCAGCATTCACCAACTGGAACGTCGTAATTGTTTACACAAGTGCCTTAGTAACACCATCTCTGACGGCCACTGACGGCCACTTCAGTGCTGACCCATCTTGGTCCACCTCAGATGAGGTCAAGGTCATCGATGCTGGTCCATTTGGACATTCTATTCGTCTTTTAGTTGAGACAGTAATAATTGAACGAGATAGTGTCTTCGCCCCATAACTATTGGTTACGGGCAAAGTTGTAATATTAGTTTATTTTTTGAATATGCAAAAATCAATAATCCATTATCGAACACGTGTATACACGTTGATAGGGACAAACGATGCTGACTTCTGGATCTCACATTTGTGCATCCCAGAACCATAGAAATTTAAAAAAAAAACTACTTCTTTTAAGGTAATCAAAATAAGCTATTGAACAATGAAGATTTTGCAGTGGAGGGCAACGGCTCCAGCGATATAAGTAATGTGAAAAGAAATTCTGGAGATTTAAATTAAGCATCTTGTAATTTCATGACTATCTTGGGATTACGTTAAAGCATAAACTGCTTGTGTATTTTGATGCATGCAGAGGCATATTATTTTGAAATGAGCAGCATGAATTTGACGGATCTGGTCATTCTTCAGGTGGAAGAATGCTTGCATTACGTCACCATCGAAGGTTCTGCGGCAGAATGTGTATTTCGATGTCTCGTCACGATTATTGGCTATTTTGAAAATCACGCTCTTAATCTAACCAATGAAAATGCACCTTCGACATTCAAACAAACCTACGGAGATACAAGATACCTTCAGTAGCATTGAACCATTGTAATTAATTTCTTCGTTTGATTCTACTTCTCTGAATTAGTCGGTACATTTACAGGAACAGAGAACGGTCAGATATTTGCTAGCGTTGGCACTGGGTACAGTAGCTAGTGTCACAGGTAATCGCAGGCAAGTACTATTTCCAACGAAAAACTAGTCTTTCAGTATTATCAAGAAGTCGGATTTTAAAAAAAAACTGACGTGAAAAATCACACGACTGACTTACTGTTAAAAAAGGCTCCCAGATATGCGGGATCATAATGTTTCATTACAAATTTTAGTTGCTTGTGTGAAAATGTAGCACCTACCAGTCACACTAATTCCCAAAGCCATGAAGTCTAGAAAATCCGTCTAAATTTTGAGTCCGCTGATGGTTTATTTTACGTCCGAACCCATGTTTGCTATGACTAACTTGCACACAGAATTAGAAGTCTGCGCCGGTGTTAATTTTGGCGCCTTCCAGTGACATAGTACACACATGCATACTTAACATAATTTATTTCACAAACAAGCAGCGCCATAGAACAGCTGACCTTTAGTCCTCAAATGCCTACACGATGGCGTCATCCGTGTAGCTCAGCTTAACCTTGAAATAACCTAGAAACCAGATGACCCTGCCCGCATAACTGACAGTTTATGCCACCAGGTGGCTGATTTGAAACTCAAATTTTGATATTATCGTGATTGGCAGATCTGGAAGGCCCCACAGCTGTTGCGCAAAAACTCGTGTTTCCTGTGCTTGTGTTCCATGTCAACCTTATTTGGAAGTCATTGGTCAGTCCACCCTCAAAGGAGACAAGTTTAAACACATGCCACATCAGGTGAAAGCTCTAGTTTTGTTCGAAAATGCAGCCACGCCCGAAGTGCTCACGTCTGGAAGGAAGCTACTTCGATTTTCAGAAAAATATTCACTCGGTACAATAGTTGGGACGATGTTGCGTTAACTGCTGAGAATTTTATTCGAACAGTGTCTTGAATGCGCACTCTCTTCCGCATCATGAGTAGATGTTGAAGATGACCAGTTTTAACCAATTGCGAAAATTTGTTTTAAACGGCTAAGTGTAATTACTACCTAAGTGCCAAAATTTTAAACATTTTCGAAAAGTTCAACGCGCCTAACAAAGTGGCACGCGATGGCTAAAGTCCGACGCCGCTTACCTCTCCTTTTCCTCCACCGGCAAATCTGATTGGTGCACTGACCGTGTTTTTCTCTCAAAATGTGTTTCACGAAAAGATTTGTTGAAATCTAATCTTCCATTATTCATTTTATTATCGTCTCTTTATAAAATCCTCCGCACTACTTTTTGGTCGCTCCTAGAGAGTTTCTTGATTTAGCGAAACAGCACATGTTTGATATGCTCTTCTGAATGTTTCTATTTTAGAGCTAAAAATTAATTGGTGCAAACCAAATAAATGCAAAAAATCAAGAGCAGACGCAGGTGACTGGTTTCGTTACAAGTCCGTTTTTAAGGAAGTTGAAATTTTAGGCAACGGTTTCCTGAGCGCACGATTAAGGCTGACATTCTCTTACTCAAAGTGTCGTATCTTAAATATTCCCTGGCTAGGTGCAAGCGTCCCTAACCAGGCGTCTAATGTCGAATTATAATTGGGATAACATTAGTGGAATTGCTGAAAGCCATTTAGGCTGTAAAATAAAAAGTGGTACAGATTCCATCGAGATCTCCCAGAAAATGAAGATCGGACGATGGTACCCAACTTGTTTTACATTTCAAGTGACCTAAGGGAAGCATTTGTTAACTTTGCTTGTGATTCATTGTACTACCTGTTGCGTTTTTTCGATTTTAAATAACAAAAAATGCTATGATTAGATTAACGAAAGACTACTAATAAAATGGTTAGTGATTCTCTAAAAGCCTCTTTTTATTGCAAAAACCAAATAAAATTTGATGCGAAATCCTAATCACCGCTGTTTTACACGTTTGAAAAACCGAAACACTTGAGCATGCTTTGACATGGTTATTTTTAACACCGTTTGCAAGGCTTAGGAAAATTCTTTTCTGAAACATTCGCTATAAAAAAATATTTTAAACGTTGTTTGTTCTGGTTTGAAATTAGATGTATGCAGCATTCAGCAGCAGATCCAAGGGCAAATCTGCGCTTAATTTAAACAAAGACGTCAAAGCCACAAGAAGAAACAAGGCTTGTGCCCCCTGATTCCGTCTGCGTTAATTTAGCGTTTCCAGATCACTTCTTGGCTCACCTAACTGTCTTTTAGCATATTCTGTCGCAGCCTTCGAAGGACTTGCCACTTGAATATTTGACTCCAATATATACACACTTTCTTTAGTAATTAACAGAATGTGGCTTTTTTGCGGTACCCATTTCTTGAATTAACTTCTATCAATCAATTTTTAACGGTAGATAAAGTTTTAATTAACCATTTAACTTGTTTACTCATTAGAACAGTGAAAATGCAGCACAAAAAAACAGTCTAATATGGTAAAATGCCAAAATAATGCAAGAAATCAGCATCACATGATCCGATATTGTGCGCTTTTCTACACGAACTTCAATATATGTCGAGTTTACCATCTCTTATTGCAAAACCACCAAAGCAATGGTGCAAATAGATTGTATGTCCTGGATGTTAATCCAGAATAGCGCGTGCTACGTTTTAGAGAAGACAATGATGCTGCAATTAAGGCCGATTCAAATATTACTTTTGGCAAGTCAAAAGACTAAATTCAATTTCCCTTTCTGGACTGATAAAATGTTGAGGTTATCAAAATTTTAAACAAATACATTTTTTAATTATCAGTCCAAATTTAAATTTAGTATAAGAATGCATTGATGGCAAGTGAGACTTAAAGATTTGCATATACATAATTGGACATGTTAAAACATTTTATGGATTCACCTGAATGATACAGTATATTTGACAAAATTAATCTGTGGATAAGATGGTAGTGTGAGATACAAACAACTCATGCGTATCTTGTAAAAATTTGGGAGGTTTCTATGTAAGTAAACAAAAATCATATAACATTTATGTCAAGAATTGTTGCTAATGCCTACCTCTGGCCAGCACAACTCCAAAATTCCAATTCCACTAACACACTTCTGTGAACGTAGTATTGTAATTCTCAGGGAACATAACTAGCTATGGATAATTACTAATAATCAAAATAGCTAAAAGCCATCATAATGGAAAACACTTATAATTTTTCATAAGCCAAATGGCTTGGATTAACATAGTTGTTTGAGTTTGCTCTTCTTGCCTTGAAGCTTCTACAGACGCTTCCACGTTTTTAAAATTCCAAATGATTTCAGCATATTTTAAAGGCACTCATGATGATGAAAGTGAAAAAGAATTAGAATTAGAATATGCAAAAATTGAACAACAGTGCAGAAAAGTTGGACGCGAGAAAAGAAAGTTATTCGAACGCACTGGCGCTATTATTCAAAAACAAGAGTAAACGTTGCATTTAATAAATAAAATAAGGAAAGAAATAAGCTTTTTACAATCTGTAAATGGAGAATTAAAATTACAATTATCATTGGTCGACTGCGCGGCTAGCAGGAAAAATGATGCGAAGTCAATCGTGGAACTCAGACAACTTGTAATGAATTACGAGGATCTGCTAAATAAAATAGACAAAGAGGGACTAAAACAGGAAAAATTAGATTCTGAAGTATTTTGTTTAATCGTTTATGGTTGATTGTACAGATTCGACATTATACCAGGAAAAATAATTCATTATTTTCAACTGGTGGCATTAATTATTTGCAATGTGTTCAAGAATATGAAAAGTCGAAATGCATTTCAGAAAACAAGCTTTATAAGGTATAAAGCCAGTATTAAACATCTTTAGAAAAATGAGAGCTTGGGTTTGATTTTCACTGCGATAGACAAAATTCGAAGTGAAATTGATAACCTGTATATTGAAAGGCAGGAGTTTGTGAAGACCTGGGAAAAACTCCAAAGAAAGGTTAACAGAATAACTTCGGAAAAAAATGCTGTAATTAAGTCATCGCTAAAGGCATACGAAGAAAGGTACAGGCAAATGCATAAAGCTTTTATTGTTTAGAGAAGAGATATTGAGGAAGTCAAGAAATCTCGGTGCCAAAATTGAAAAGGAAAAGATTTCGTTCGACGTAGAGTTAAAAGAACTCCAGCGAATGAACGAAAATGCCTGTGAGTATCGCAAGTTTATGGAAGTCAAGTCAAAGTGTCGCACCAGCCAAATGGCCAATAGAAAACGAGGTAACAATTTCCTACCGTTTTTTGTAAAAGATATGCTCCCTAAAACATTTGACTTCAAACCCACAATTTTATCTCGCTTGTGTGGGTACCTTAGTTGGTGGAAAACAAGCAAGCAAATTCGAAGTAGAGAGGAATCTACTTGCGCAGTACGAGGCCGCTTTTAAGGCACTTGAGGAATTATTGGGTGAAAAGGACGTCGATAAAATTGTCGACATTTTCAAAAAGAACGAAGCCGAAATAAGTCGCACACTTGAATACGTCAACGTGAATAATTCGGAGTGTTCAAAAATTGAGGAAGAAATTCACTTAATCGAGGCAGAGAAGGTCCAGGCACTTAAAGAAATCGACTTGCAAGCTTGCTCTTTCCAGGACCAAATTATGCAACTTAACGTAAGTCGTCTCCTTGAAAAAGTGTTTACTTACAAACTTTAAGTAGAAAGGTTGACAAATTGGATTTTTAGGAAGAACACAAGAGAGTTATGAGGGATTCGGCCGCTCTTATGAAGTCTCTCAACGCGTCAAAAAGGTGTGTGGACCTTTATCTCAAAAACGCCAAAGCAATGTTTTCACTTATGAACTATGAGCCTGACAGCGAGCTAGATTTTGATCTGATGACCGCGGAAAACGTCGAGGGGATTGTGCGAGCTCTGGAGCAGCGAGTTGACCACTTGGTGAACATGTTTTTGGTGACGGTAAGGCAATCACTCTGTCTCGAATCCCCATCCATCCATCCATCTACAACTATTTTTTTGGGTGCCCGGTTTTCTAGAAATGCAAACAGGCAACAGATCGTCCAAGCAGCGTCGCAACCGAGGCAGAAGGCTCGCTTCCAACTGATTCAGCGCTGAGTGAAGACGCGGCCACGGTTGGAACCGTCGACGACACCGACGATCTCCCGTCCGTGGGGTGAGATACCGTTATTGATTTTGCCAGTAATAGGTACTACCACTGGTGGGGGACGGGGGGGGATTTCGTCAAGATTTTTCGTAACACGTGCTGTAGGTGGAAGAGTTAAGACCACCGTAATTCTGCATTAAAGTGCACAGGGAAGGTACAACAAACTCTAGCCAACGAGATGCATGCGTAATGTGTTTTCGCGGGGAACATTCACGGTCTCTAACACTACTCTGCGTTCCTCTCAGCCGCTTTCTCGATGTTTTATTGTGATTAGTATAAGTAACTAGCCTGTGTATTCATTAGACTTGCTTGGAAATGCGACCTCTTAACTCGCATCATCTGTCATCATCATATCTCCACAATCCGACTTTTCTGATTGGTTAATTCATCTTTCTTGAAAGAACAATTTACCGCTTAGTGTGAATGGTGTCAGGCGGTTGACTATTACATTTGCTGATGTCTTTTTCACCGTTTAAGGGAAATCAACGATGAAATCTCAGTGGACTCGGGGAACATTTCACAACCAATCAGTGAGACGCAACTTCGAATGTACTTCTGATGCACATCTTGGCAGCTTTACAAACTCGCGCAACTTCCACATATGCATTTATTTAAATGCAGTTAAATGTTTACACCAATTAGTTTAATATTTTACTCTCCGTATTTGCCTATATTTGCGTGAGAGTGCGTGAGCGTGATTATCGATTGGCAACAGTAGCCAATGATATTGATTTCTAACCAATCCCTGAACAAGCTTCACTTACGCGCATTTACCAACAGTTCACTAAGGACCTTTTAACACAAATTGCAAATTGTGTCAAAACTTGACCCTACAGTATCACAAACGAATTATCTACAAAAGAATTTGTGGTTCGGATCACCTGACACGCGCTATTTTTCAGGGCAAGCATGAATTTTGTTTAGATGTCCTCCATCCCGAGTTACGCTTAT